ATTTCCTATAACCTTCCCTCAAGGCATCACAACAGCATCTTCCTCAGCAGAGCTGAGAAAATTTTGTTTATAGGTTGCACTGGGATGGTTGTGGAATAGCACATTTTGCCATCCTCATGCTTTATGCTGAATACTTATTTTGCCTTTCAGACAGTGCCTGTTAATGCAGTTCAGTAAACTGGAGCTATTCTTGCCTCACCTGGACAGGTGTCAATGACTCACAGGCATGTCTAGAAGGAAAAGGCTTCAGAAAACATGCCTTGTATTTTAACATTTCTGTAGTTGGGTCCCTGAGGTTTTTTGTCCCTAGCAGGTGTTTTCTCTCTGGTCTCTAGAGCCTTGGAGTTTTTCATGATATGGTGAAACAATTCTTTTGGCATAGTTCTTCATAGCATATAATGCAGATGATTTTTCCACTTTTATAGACAAACATTTATTACTCAAGAACTTTGTGTTAAAAGCAGAAAGTTCAAGGGCAGTCACCACTCCAACACAAGCAGCTGGAGAAACATCTTCAGTACTTCCTTTTTTTCCTCAAAAGCCCTTTAAACTCTTTGGGTTAACAAGCAGTTTACAATCAGTGACCCCCAGTCCCCAGGACAGCAATAATGAGACTGTGAGCAGTCCCATTCTGGAGGCACTGGGCACTCCTTCCTGCCCCCGGTGGCATCATGATTGGTGCTGGGAGGCAGCACAGCCAAGCTTTTTAATTCCATCATTTGCTCTTGTGACCCTACCTGCTGCTCCTCATCATCCCCTTGGCTGCAGATACAGCAACGTCAGTGCCTCACGGGGAGGACAAGCAGGAGATGCTGAGGCTGAAATCTGTGGATAAAAACAGATTTCCTTTTCATTTCCTTTGCTAAGTACTGACGTTATTAACAGCAATTCATGATTCTAAAATTTGCAGCATACACTAGCTCACCAAGCAACTGAGAAGAGAGTGGCAATTAACTTAATGAAGGCCCTGGGAAGCAGATAAGTAGCAAGGATTGCTCCCTTCAACCTAGGGCAGCCTCCTGCTAGCAATCTGGACAGAAAAAGCTCCATATCCCATTACCAATTCTCTTCTACGTGCAAACCCAAGAAATACTGATAAGAATCCATGAATAATTAAGTTCAACCTGATGTTAGCAGCAACTGGATTGGGGATGTTAGACTTTTCATTAGTTCACTGGCAGGAAATAGCTTGGATCAAATTCATTATGTAAGCAATTCCTTGGAAACAAATAGAGCTAATTCAGCAAACACTTCAGTTCTGAGTCTCAGGGTTAAAGAATCTGCTACATTCTTCCATGGCAGAAAATTTAAAAAATTGTATAGTTTGCTTTTTGTGAGTTGCTTATGCTAATAGTTGTCTTTAATTACTGGATACATTTCCTACCCACCATGAGGAGACTCAGGTTTCCGTGTTCTGGGAGGCTGGGCCTGCTTCATCTAAAAACTCCCTCCCTGTGTTTCCATACTGCCCTTCATGAGGATTTTCCTCCTCCTTTCCCCAAGTACCCCTGTCACCAGGGACTGTGCATTCCTCAGTCCCTCTTCCCTCAAGGGCCCTCTTCCCACTCACCGTGCCAAGGGCTGTGAGGTTGTGCTAAACAGATGGCAGCTGAGCCATGTGCCCCTCACTTACAGATTTTTGATTTCCCTTCCCTTTTATGCCCACTGATGTCCTGAACAATTCTGGACAGACTGAATTAACCAGAATTAATCAGAGAGGATGATTAGGTTCTTCAATGGCCAATGTCTTAAACCAAGCTGATCAAGAGCCGTGGTGAAATAGCCTGAAGTGAAGTGATAGCAGAAAAGGGTAGTTGAGGGAACTGCAAGTTGAGGACTGTTCAGGAAGCAAAAAAAAGCTCTACTGTAATGCATAAGGGATCATGGATCAGCTGCTATTCAACATCCTGTGCATTTACCAGTGCCTGCAGTGACACTGTGATTTAGCTCCATGCAGGTTATGGCCACGGATGGCTGATGGATTTAAGCTACTTCCCTTGAGGAAGGGAAATAAAAGGCTCTAAAGTAGAAATTTCTGCCCAAAGTAAATTTGGACATCTTAAAACCTGGCGTTCTCTTATCACAGAAGATGATTTACATGAATCTCTAAGAACAGTTTTGGGTTTCTCATGCAGGTCTAGAGTGATCCCCTCTAACTTCTCAGCAAAGGGACAACACCTGCCATTTGTCAGAACTGGGGACACTGCAGGAGAGCTTTCCCAGTTCCTGAGGAGCAGCAACAGACTGTTCTAGAGACTGCAGGTATGGAAACTGCCTGAAATGATGTTGGAGGTAAGAGCTCCTCCCTGTCCAGATTATTTTCTCCAAACCTTTGTTTCATTGAGCTCATTTTGAACATGAGGTAGGCTTTAAATGCAATTTTAAGTGCTCTCTGTTGCCTGCATCCTTCACCTGGCATATTTGGGTTTATATTTTCTGATGCCTTTACCTTTAGTGCCTACACTTCAGAGTTCAGAAACTCAGCTCAGAAATTGTATGTAGGAATAACTTTCAAATAAAAAATCTAAGCTCCAAGTTTTGCTCAGACAATACCAACACCATCCTGGAATCAGCACCAGAATCACAGAATCATTAAGGCTGGAAAAGACCTGTAAGACCATCCAGACCAAGCAACAACCCAGCACCACCACGATGCTCATGGCTAAACTGTATCCCCAGCTGCCACATCTGCATGCTTTTTGAACATTTACCAGTATGGGGACTCCACTACTGCCCTAGGAAGCCTGCTTCAATGCTTGACAACCCTTTTGGTGAAGAAATTTTTCCTAATATCTACTCTGAACCCTTCCCTAGCACAGCTTGAGGCCATCTCCTCCTGTCCTGTCCCATCCCTTTTTACCTGGGAGCAGGGCCCAAGCCCCACCTGGTTGCAGCCTCCTCTCAGGGAGTTGTAGAGAGTGAGAAGATCCCCCTGAGCCCCCTTTTCTCCAGCTCAAACACCCCCAGCTCCCTCAGCTGCTCCTCATCAGACTTGTGCTCCAGCCCCTTCCCCAGCTCCATTCCCCTCTCTGGACACACTCTCACCATTTCTCTTGAAGTGAGGGGCCCAAAATCAGTACTTGAGGAGTGGCCTCAGCAGTGGCCAGCACAGGGGGATGGTCACTGTCCTGCTCTTGCTGGCCACACTACTGCTGATAAAAGCCAGGATGCCATTGGAATTCTTGGCCACCTGGGGACAGGTGACAGCTGTGACCTCTGGTTGACTCTCGTGTCTATCAGCACTTCCAACAAGCCTTGGTGTTACTTGGAGCAAAGAAGGATTCAGCATTTCGTAGGCCTCCTCTTCCCAAAACAAAGGGGAGGCTCTCAAAAGCAACATCACTGCAAAGCAAGGAGGTGCCACCTGAAAATCTTCATATACCCCTGATGAAGAAAGGCTTCCTCTTATATTAAAATGAGTATCTCATGCAGAATAAAACCTATCAAATCTATTTCTAATCAATGTATTTCTTCTCACGATTATTCTTAATCTACTTGCCAGAACTACTAGGATTCACCCACAGCCTGTTCTTTCCTCCCACCAGTCTCTTGGAGAAGTCACACAAAGGCTTTCTACGTGCTGCAGGTTGGATTTAACCCAGGGTTTTTCCCCGAGGTGTAATTTCCCAGTCTCTGCCATCAGGGACACCTGAGTGGCTTAATGCCTGACACTTAGAGCAGGAGCACTCTGTTCTGCAGGCCTTAAAGTTAACAGGCTGATTTTCCAGCTTTAGAACCTTAGACAGCACAAAAGTTCAAGCTCCTTTCCTCCCCTGTCTCCAAGATTCAGCAAAAGCACACAACAAAAAGGAAGATGAGAACAGGTAGCAGGTTCAGGCTTTTGTTCCCTTTCTGCTGTGATGTGGGGACAGGAGAGATTTTCTCTCTGACAGAGGTACCTGCTCCAGTTGCGAGGGAATGCTCATTCTCAGTTCATGAATAGCTGGAGATTTTCTAAATGCCTCCAATGGATTGGATTTGTCTGTCTCAGCCTTCCAAGAGCTGCCTGTTTGCTGCCTCAGAGCAGCTGTGCAGTAGCCTCCATCAGGAGGGCAGCTGCCCTGCAGACACAGCAGGCTGCAACAACTGCTGCCTTATCCTGAGTGCTGCTCTAAACTCAGGACAGCTCCTCAAGTGGATTAAGCCACTGCTTCATGGAATACACTCTGGCTTTTAAGAGGCTCCTATCATGCCCCCAGCAGAGGTGTTTCAACGAGTAGGAGGCCTTGAGAGGCTGATGTAAAGGACTTAGGAATCAATGGGACAATCAAGATATGATGAGACTGGGAGCCCTTCAAGGGGAGAGGGCTGAGGGAAGGATGCCAGTTCTACACGTCTGTGAAATTAGAGCCCTGGTGTTTGTGATGGTAATAAACTCATCTATATAACACAGAAAGACGTTGTAACATCAGATGTTGCCTTTGCTGCACACTGCAGCAGAAGTTAGATTGAAAGGAGAATTTGGTAAAGATGTTTGTTAAAGGCAGTATGAGGCTAACACCAGGCACTCCAGCCTTGGGCAGCTGAAATAGTCACTCTTTCCCCTCACACCACTTTGCTTCCACATGAAATCCCTTCTAACTTCAGCTTTTATCAAACTCTACAAAGGGTGGCACAGTCCAATAGCCTGCATACACTGCCAGTGAAGCATCACACTAACCAAAACACACTCAGATCACTGTTCCTGAATCCTAGTCTGAAACAAAACAACATGTGAGAAATGAAATTAATTTGGATGTATTCCTCCCCTATTTAACAAGCAGTCATACAGGGAGGAACCAAAATGCTGGCTCAGAAACTCCCGAGCTCACCGCCTTGCTTTCATTCCTAAAGCAAAGGAGGCATTTCCATGGCATCAAGCAGATGGCTGAAAAAAGCATCTTTCCTATATCGAGCTCCATGTGCAAGCTTAGGATCTATGTAAGGTACGAAAAAGCTACGAGCTGGAGGAATGAGGGGGTGGGGATGAAGGAAGAAGGAGGAGGAAAAGACAGGGGGTGGAGAGTAACACTGGAGAGCAGCAGTGGTCCAGCCCCTCAGAATCTGAAAAGCATCACAGGAGCCTCTGGATAAAGACCAGCTTCAGGAGCAAGGCTAGGAGACAGAGGATTTCTGCTCAGTCATAAAACATGGTGAGTAGGATTTTTGTGATCTGTCTCCTTTGCCCTGGTGCAATGGCATTTCTTTTGCTCTGACACTCAGAGCAACTCTGAGTGAGTATTATTTTGGGATGACTGCTTGTTTTTGAAGCGTTGCTTTTTACTTCTTTTTCCATGCATCTGGCAAGTCTGTGCCTGTATTTATAAAATTGCTCATCCTATCTCCTTTGAAAGCAATAAATTACTGAGGACAGCCAAAGCTGTCAGTGTTAACACTTTGCTGTCTGGTACCAACAGGCTACTGGTCAGGGCAAGAAAAAAATAGAAGCCCTGTTTCCTTCTCAGGTATGCAGTGGAAATCTCTGCTCTGCTGCCTTCTCTTAGCAATAGAGTGATGATTTGAAATCTTCCTGCGCAGCAGTTAAAGCTGCCCTTTTACATGATGTAATTGGAACATTTCAAAGCAGTTACGTTTCTTTCAGCCTCAGGTATAGAAGAAAACTGAGTGAGGGGTGCAGAGGTTTTTGTCAGAGAAGGAGCATTCTTTTGTCATGGGCTCAGCCTCCTTCTACCCTGCCACACACCCCATGCGTGGCTGGGGGATGCTGTGGGTGCCCCAGATGGGGCTGGGGGATGCTGTGGGTGCCCCAGATGGGGCTGGGGGATGCTGTGGGTGCCCCAGATGGGGCTGGGGGGTGCTGTGGGTGCCCCAGATGGGGCTGGAGGAAGCACTGGGTACTGCTGTGTCCCCAGGGATCTCTCCTGTCAGCACACAGCAGGACAGTGTGCTGGGAGTAGAAACGTGGTTAATTTTACTATGAAAAACCCTGAGCTCCACGAAACAGTTGTCAGGGCTTAAAGGAAGGTTCAGACTTCCCTATAGCACATTGCTAATAAGATTAAGCATTTAACTACACATCTTTCTAGTATTCTGCTGGGGAGTGTGAGATTTTACTGTGTGTGCTCAGTGGAATGAGGGCTGAATTAAAAACACACCAATGTGCTTTTTGCTGGTTCTTCATCAGAAAGCCATTGCCTGACCTAAATGTATATGCAAATAATTAGGCATCCTGGATTACCCGAGAGAGACAAATGATTAAGGGGAATGATAAGACACAGCCACTAAGGATGATGAGAGGAGTACTCCTAAGGAGAGGCATGATCTCAATGCAGGTTTGTGTGTCACACAGGAGCCTTTAAAAATAAACATTCTGCTGTTTCCTGAATCACGACTGTCCCTGATTACATCCTCCATCCTTTCCACCCTCTTCTTTTCTGCTGTCTAATGGAGATGAGATCGTAGCAGGGTAATCAGTTTAGAGGAGAAGATGAGCCCTGCTTTAAAATCCTCTTTGGTTTTTACCAGAAGAACTGTAATGTTTATTTGCTTGCTAGAAACAGTGTTACAATAACTGCAGTGAGAATATCACTACCCTCTGGCAAAGAAGCCGTATTCTGCTTTGCAATTAAAAATCAAATTAACAGAATGGAATATATGTTCATGATTATTAGTAAGTATTTCCATTATTAACTGTCATCTTCTCAGATAGAGAGTTAGTATTTTTGCCTGTAAATAAACAGTCTTGTTCCAAAAATCTCCCCCCACGCACACTTTACTGTGAGCACCAGCTGTTCCTTATGCACTGCTAATTAATTAGATACTAAAGATTAAAAATTAGTGTTGTTCACTGACTTTAAAAGTGGCTGTGGCTTTCACCACCTCATGCTTGCTTGTTTTTGCATTTTAGGACTTCAACTGGTGGCCAGTAAAAATTCTCCTGAGGTTAAGAATCAGGGGAGCCTCCCAGAGTGCTCTGTTCTCTTCCCCTCTCCCATAACATCATTTATCAAGGAATATTTTTTAAAACTTTTCATCTTAAAATGCATGGATTTGAAGATTAGTGCATAATTTGGTCCATATACCCAAACTGGAGAGATGTTTTCAGGAAGTTTAATTATGCTACAATTTCTGATGGAAAAGCAGGGTAGCATTTTCAAAGGTACCTCTGATACTCAGCATCTTAAGTCTGATTGATATGAAGCCACTTGTGGAAAAGGGATTTTGGACTCACTCCAGACTTGTATCTGAAAACATACAAGCAACACAAAGAGAGGTTTTCCCTTATTTTTGAATTAAAAAGCCTCTTCAGTGTTGATCAAATTTTTCATTTAATATCAGGAAAATGCTTGGAGGGAGGTGAAATTCAGGTGCCAAGTGGCATGCAGAGCTCTGCTTAGCAAGAGACAGCGAGGCACCATCTCCACAACCTGCCAATTGTAGGAGTGATATAAATGTAAAGAAAGAATACTCCTACCTCCCCTTCTAAACCACTATATTCTGAATTTTATCTATTTCTATCTCCAAGAGAGTCAATTATTTATAAATTACACATCAAACAAGCTAGTAAGAGAGGTCCAAGCTGGATAGCTGAGAAGATTTTGAAATAAATGAACCTCAATTACTCGAGCAAAATTATTTTTGAGCCAAACTTGCTGAAGCTGGAGAATTTATCTTAATTTCCTCCTTGTAACAGTATTATTTCTGTCCATGCAACCTCGCTGAACCAGATACTTCTACTTTCCCAGTAGGATGGTATTCCTAGAATTCCATGCAAGAGGACTGATGTTTTACTTTTTCCTTGAAGACAACCTAAACAAACCTTTCTGCTGTGCTATAAGCAACAGCAACTTTGACTCAGCCAAAAACCCAAAGCAAGGCTCTCTCACATTCCAGCACAGAGGGAAACTTGGAGATGGCTGGAAGAAAGTGTTGGAGCCAGGGGCAGAGGGAAATGTGACCCCTCTCTTTGACTCACATGACAGAGATGGTATCTGGACACTTCGAATCCTGCCTCCCCCCATTTTCCTAATGGACATCTGGCTCCATTGCACCCTTCTTTGGCCCTTGTGTGTTGGCCTGGACTTAGGGAGGATTTGGGCCATCTGAATATTATTAACTCTTATTAACCAGAACAGTTACCTAACTCAGTCTTGCTCAGGTCCTCATAACCCAGATCCAGAAGCAATTGCTTTGACTGTCCTAAAATCAAGTCTCCTCAGCCCACAGGAATATGCTCATCTAAAACTTTAATTTACTTTTAGATGAATCACAGATGCAGTAAAACCTCCTGGTTTTATGAAAAGGCTGTGACACACCCTGCACAGATGGCATATGTTGGAGCATGAAGTATCTCTGCATTTTATGAGCAATATGATCCAAATTTAAAAGAAAACCTTATTTCCATTATAGTATCAGCCTCAAATCTGGATCTAATTGCCTGCTTAGATACCTGTGAAATCCTGAAAGTGAGCAGCTGGTCTGATCAAGGCAGATAAAAATATTGTTTACTGTGGATGGGAAGCCTCAGTGCTGCTGCTACACCCAATCTTATTGTAAAAACCAGCTAAACTGTAGCCCAGTGTAAGATCTAAGGATAAATTCATTATATACTACATCCCATAAGCAATTTTGCAGATAGTAAAAAACCTTTTTGTTATTAATGGAGAAAACATTGAGACTCTCAGTACACTGACTGCTAGTTTCCATAGTTTTCTGTTCTTTACAGTGACTTTTAATTGCAAATTTTATTTCCTTTGCAAAGATGGGAAATCAGCCCTCATATATCTTTTATCCCTTTGGAAGAAGTGATATCCTGCAAATCCAAGAGAAGAATAATTGAAAAGGAACAGAGACAGGCACTAGTGTAGCTGAGTGCATGGGTCAAGAAATCCCAGAAAAATGTACTATGTTTTAAATGCCTGTAATAATTTTTCATAGAATTTTGATTTAGCTTTACATAACCACTGGAGAGTAACTTTCCCTTACATCACTTTAATTGGTTTGTAATTTCACTGGTACAGCTTCTGGGGTTAGAGCTAGAACTTGTGTCCCTGCCGAAACCAAAAATAAAATATCATGGCATAATCCATTACAATGAAATGGGCTAAAAGTATTAATAGATATAGAAAGAGAGAATCATCACATAAATAGCTCTGGTCTATTTTTGGAAAGAAGTTCATTGATAGTTTGCATCACATGAGTATGAAGAGGAACTCAGAGTATGGGAAGTTGCAAAACAGCATCTAAAATGAATGTTTTAAAAAATCTGCAGACTCTGGTAGTCTGTGCTGAGGAGCCCTCAAAGAGTTAACTGAGATCCTCCCTTTCTTTTATTCATTTTAAATAACATTTTTAATGGGGAAGTTTTACAAAGATATGACAGTCTTATAATAAACAGGATGACACAATGAACTAGATACTAACATGAATCCTGAGGGAGTGTTAGAAATAGAACATATGGGAATAAATAATAACATTAAATAATTAAAATACAAAGTTGGTGATTATTTATATATATATATAAGATATTAAAAAACCCAACAAACCAAACCACAAAATCCCCACAAAACTGAAACAACAGCTAACACTCTTATCCTCATCAGAAGAAACTGAAAAGGCAGCATCAGCTACCCTCAGTGTATCTTACACTGTGTGTATGTAACTTATTACACTACAGATATTCTCAGTAAAATGTTACTTTGGCCATTTTGGCTTTCAAGATAGAACTGTTCATCTAGTCTATTAAAAAAAAAAAAAAAAAAAAGAACAATCCTTGAAGTTTCTAGACCCAGTTATCAAAACTGGTCATCCATTGTGTTTCTTATCAGGGAGATACAATTAAGATCAAACATTACTTTATTTCAAAGATTATCTAATGTCATCCTAAATTCTTAGCTTTCATACATTTCATACTTGACAGGAAATAAATCCATCCCTAAAAGCCTTTTTAATGCATCTGCAGAAAGGTTCCCAAGTATACAATATCCTACAAAAGTGACCTTTTTCACACTCAGAATGGGCAGAAACAGCTGCAGGACTTCCAAGGGTCCTACATGTCATTGTTGTAAGGCTGGCACTCGCCAGGGTCACAGAGCTCTGAGGAGCTCCTCGGCAGCATCAGGAGCTTCCCACAGGGACACAGCACCTAAATCTGCACTCCCAAAGGACTGAGATGTCAGACACTTTATTTCTGGGCTATTAGCAGCTGGTCTTGCATCAGCTATTTCTGATTGTTTTCACAGCCCTGCTGCTGCTGAGTTCAGCTGCATGCTGAATTGTCGATCACACCTTGCTTTTCAGAAGAGGAGGGTAATCGTGTCCCAGTGACCTATTTCTAAATATGCAAAACAAGCTTCCCGCAGCATCAGTGAACTCCAGATCCCTGACAGGGTAGTAAAATGTTTACTGGCTTTCATTAAGAATGTTCTGCAACACTCACATGTAGTGCCAAGTGCAACTGAACGTGCCAACATCTCAATCACAGTGATGGACAGCCATTTATCACCACCCACCATGTTTCCACCACATGTCAAATATCCACACTTTGCCCTGATGTTCTCTGCCTTTTGTCACTGACCTACATTTATTTGTAAATATTGTTAATCACCTGTTAGTTTGCAGCTTCTATAAGAAAGTGGCTGTCACTGATCTGCCTCCTGGAGAAGTGCTCCAGAACACACAGTCCTGCATCTGCTGGGCTGCTGGTCAGAGTGTGGCTGTTCCAGCAAGGCCTGGCAATTGGAAAGCTTCTGGAGGCTACAGACAGATGTTATAGTTCAAAACAGACTGAAGACTGCTTTAAGGTCTGTTTTAGGAGTACAAAGCCTAGGCTTGGTGCTGAATTTAAAATCTCCTGTTCAGTGTCTCCAATTGTTTATTTATGTCTAACCAATTCAAAACAAGATAAATCATTAAAAGAGGTTTCATTCAGCAGAGATCCAAGCACGCTCTTTCAAGAACAGGACTTGGAGTTATTGTGCTGTTTCCCACCAAGTAAAATTCTGGTTGCTCCAACAACTTTTAGGTAGTGATTGCTTCATCCCTGACCTTCCTTCATGGAAGTCCATTGACTTACTCAATATTCAAGTTGATGCATGACAGGAAAGGATCAGCTCTTTCTATGAAAGAACTGCCAGAAGACAGAAAGTGACATGGCTAAAATAATTAATGACTATTTAGATTTATGAAAATATAAAACATAAAAGGTTCAATACTAAACCATACAGGCAGAGCCTGGAACTGGCATTGATACTGGTGCTAGAATATTTTTAGAAATAGCTAATCAATGTGCACTGCAGACTCACTGTGGCAATGCCTCTGTGTGCTTCACTGGTCTTTGTAAATTGGAGAAGACACTTTTGTCATGACTGACAATGATTTTCAATGCGGAATTTTTGATTTTTGACAATAAAAGTAGCAGTGTAGAAAATGATACGTTATGCTCAGGGGGAAGCAAAATCAGTAATTCAGTTTCTGCATGCTTCCAAGGTAGTACCAAGGTTTATGGATTTTCCTTTCACAGATAAAGATTATTTTAATATAAAGTGAGCATTGTGTATCGAAAGTTTGATCCATTTTCTCAGATTTCCCAACTTGAGATCATTGTCCTCCTCTAAGGTACAAATCTATGGACTGCTGCCTTCCTGATACACACATTTGCATGTTGAAGTTTCTCAGGCATTGCTTTTCCTTGATGTCTCTTCTACCTCCAGAACAAGACCTTTAGCTTGTTAAAAGCTGTCCTGAAGTCATAATCCTCAATGAAAATCTGCTTATTTCTAACAGGCAAAATGTTCCCTGAGCCTCAGCTACCAAGCCATAATGTGCACTGTTTTCTCCATGTTGAATCTTCCAGCCAACACACCTTTAGTTTCACTCAATCTGTTTCTCATGCAGTACCATGACTCGATGATGGAAATGTCTGATGGCAGAGAAGCTGAATTTTATAATGCTTAATGTCCCTTCCTTTGGTCTTCAGTTGCTTTCAAAATTTACAAGTGCTACCCACCAACCTCACAATAGTTGTGTTCTGCTGTTTTCTTTACAGAAACAGATGTGAGGAAGCAGTATGGAGCTCAAGAGAGGAAAGACCTTCATAAAATCCAGTGTACAACATGAGAAAGTGCCACCAGTGCATACAGCTCCTACCAACAAAGATGAGATGGGAAAAGACAAAAAGGCAGCTCTGGAGGGAAACCAAAGTGTGGCTGAAGTCCAGCTGGCCTGTCTGGCCACACACAAGAACTACAGATGTTCTACAAGAGCAGCAAGGAGTGGAGCTGGTGGTCACAACCTGGAAAAATCATCTGGCTCCTCCTACAAGCTCGTAAGGAAGAGTAAAACCCATGACTGCGTTGCTGAGGCACACAAAGCAGAGCAGTGCAGCCCCAGCAGCAGGGCTTGCGAGGAGGGTTTGTCTGGAAAGGGCAAGGGCCGACTTGTCAATAGCATCAGCTTTTCAGGGATGTCCAGCTCCAGCAGTAAGAAGGAGTGTGTGGTCAGCCCCAGCCAGTCTGCATGCAGCAGTCAGATGATTGATTACAGGAACTTTGTGCCACAGATGCCTTTTGTACCAGCTGTCGCAAAAACCATTCCCAGGAAGAGGATTTCTCTCAAGAGATCTAAGAAAGGGCTCAGAGATATATTTCATATAAGAAAAAATAAACCAGACAGCTTCTCATTTCTGGTGGAGAAGGACAAGAACCTGTCCTCTCCAGGCTGCAAGAGTGAGCTGTCTGCACGTCTTGCAAAGTATCTTTTCAAAACTGGGGAAACTTGTGCAGCTGATTGCTTGTCACAGGACTGCTCAGACAGTGAACTGCAGTCTGACTCCTCCTACGACTACTGCAATGCCCTGTGTGAAGATGTTGCCTCCCTGAAGAGCTTTGACTCCCTCACTGGCTGTGGGGAAATCTTTGCTGATGAGAGCTCTGCTCACCTGGAGCTGGAGAGCAGCAAAGACCTTCTCCTGAGGAGAAGCAAGCACAAAGACAGCCCTGCCATGGGCTCCTTCCAAGGTGGGGTGGAGCAGCTGGCTTCTCCTGGCCAGAATGAGACAGTGGAATTTGCAAAGTTTTGGGACAACATCAACAAATCAGTGAGGCTGCACCAGAGTGCTCTGTTTGAAAAGAAGTTGCTGAAGATGTCTGGTTCTGACACAGAAAAGGATAGAAGTCAGGCTGCTGTACTGGTGACAGACACCCAAGTGTCACCTGATAAAGAAGGTGACAATTCCAAAGACAGCTCCACAGAAACAGAAACACCCAAAAGTGAAAACCAGGAATCCACATCCACAAGTGATGAAGGCTACTATGATTCTTTCTCTCCTGGACAAGATGATGAACTGAAGGAAGCTCAGACCCCTGGTGTCCCAGGGAGATTTCCAAGAGACAGCTACAGTGGAGATGCCCTTTATGAGCTCTTCTATGACCCAAATGAAGTCAAAGTAAACCCTGTCCTTGATGATGACTTGTGTGCCTCTGAAAGTGTTTCAGAGCAAGCCATTGAAATCCCTTTGTCCATTTACAGCTTTCATGTTGGAGCTGAGGAGAACATGGCTTCCCAACCAACTCTAGACATCATTAGCCAGGGATTTTTCCACAGCACATGGAAAGGCAAAGAATGTTTGCTAAAGCTCTGTGATACTGAGCTTTCACTGACCATGGGCATAATAAACTGGCTACGGAAACACTCGGGACTCATCTCCTCCCCTGACTCTCTTCAGAGCCCTCAGTCACAGCGAGAAAAGTCTCATGGTTCATTGATCCCCAGTCACAGTCCAGAGCAGAAAGGCAGCACAGAAGTTCAGCAGGAGACACCAGGCAAGGGTGAATCTAATACATTTAACATATGTGTGCCTTCGGAGGAAAGCAAACACACAGCCCAGGCCTCTTCAGTAAACATTGATGGAAGAGAGCACAGCCTGGGCTCCTCCCTGAACACATCTGATCTGGATTTCCAAGGAACAGAAGGGAGTCACCACAAGGACTTACCTACAGTGCCTGGGACCGTGGAAAACACAAGTTATGCAGCGCAATTGCAGGCTGACAGAGACAATCTGCAGACATCCTCAAATGACAATGAGAAGGTAGCAATTTCACTGGGATGTGAGACATCCAGAGGTAAAAACCCACTGCCAGAAGAGCTGAACAGAGAGACTGGCTCCCAGAGCTCTGAAAATCCTTCCTTAGATGATAATCACGAAGTAGAATCATGTTACTCCTACAAGACTGCTGCGACCTCACTCCGAGATCCCCTCGAGGGGGAGGACAGAACTAAACCAATGTATCACTCTCTCTCCATTTCCTGTGACAAACCACTGCAGCCTCTGACCCTCAATCACTTCCAGAGCTACATGAGCCCCACACCAACAGACAGCAGCACTAACATAGTGCAGCTCTTAGAGCACTGTGTAACACAGGTGGCATCATTAAAAATCAGCTATGAAAACAAGCACCTGGAAGACAAATACATCGGGAATGAAATGAACAGTATCATTCATAAGATGTCTCAGTACAAAAACAAGTTATTGTTACAGAATGAATGCAGCTGCATCGCTCAAATTCCAGAATTTCCCAGTATTCCTAGTACAAACCAATACGAGACAAATTTCCAATCTAGCAGTCTGTATCATTTGAAGAAAAACGGGGAGCAAAATTGCTCTGAAGATCAGAAAAGTAGAGCAAAAATCCTAGATGAGGTTACTCAAAGCAAGATAAATTTTGAATATGCCCAGCTGAATAATCAAGCCCTCTCATATTTAAAGGACTTTGGTCTCAGTCCAAGTGACTCTGGCCCTGAGACATCTCTTAGTAGACCAACATTTTTGCCTCTCTTTAACTCTGTCTGCCCAGACCTCGGTGGTGCCTTCTCCCAGGGCTCACAGAGCACGGCTGTCTGTCTGTCTGAGTCTCTGCAGCCTGAGGAGGCCAAGCAGTGCAGCCCAGGGTCCTGGCAGTGTGCAGAGAGCCCCTGCCATGGCCTGGCTGCAGGGACTGCTCTGAGCCCTCTCCTAGAGGCAGTGCTGCGGGATACGGCGGTGCCAGCCAGGGACCACCAGTGACACACCTGCATGGAGAAGGTGAGTGCTTAGGGGAAGGGTGAAATTCAATGTGAAACACTTCAATCTGTTCCCTTTTCACAGAGGCACACTTAACAGCAGTGGAGGCTGAGGGATTCAGGGTCTGCCATTTATGCATGAGAAAGCCAGGGAGCTCAGTGTGGAACCACAGTGCAGACGTGCCCTGTCCTGCAGGTGCCCACATATGGTGTGCTCCAAAGCACAAGGGAAAGGCCACAGTGCTGTGCTGGTGCTCCTGAGTGCACCAAAAGGATGCTCCTCCTTCATCCAAACCTGAAGGATTGGTCTCTGGCCAAACTGTGCCATGGCAGAGCAAGAGCTGAAACCAAGGCAGCCTCCATGCAAGGCTTGACAGGCTTCTCAAGAGAGGGGTTTACAGGGTCTGTGCTGCACTTCAAGCAATTGAAAATCCTTCAGCCACACTCATAGCACAGGGAGAGCCAGAATCTGCCCTGTGACACAGGGTAAGAAACACCTCTGCTGCAAAGCAGAAACATGGATGGAGCACACAGCGATGGTGCTGGTTCAGGTTTGCCTGTCACACGAGGCTTTAGGCCAGGGCACTGCTCTGTGCCTGTGTCTGTACAGAGAGTTCTCACTCTGTGCCAGCTGAGAACTCCTCCAGCTGCTGACAGGAATTTGTTGTAGGAGTATGAAACTGGGGTAAATTCTCTGTCATGTGCCCTGCCAAACCTGACAGATTGGCTGGACTCTGCCCAGCCTTGGCCTCTGAGAAAGCCCCTTTGGAGGTGGTGGAAGACAAAGAGGAGGCTGCAGCAAGGACCAGGACAGAGAATTAAGGAACAGCTCCCTATTGAACAGAGGGACACAGCGAACACAACATTTCTCTGGCTCTTGCTGCTCACAGCAGTGTGGCTGCTTTCTGCTCATCTCTAAAGGCTTCCCAAGCAGCACGAACTAAAAAGGACAGTGCTTCTCTCTGCAGGAGGCAAGAACACCCTGACATTTTCAAGTTTGGGTAGATTCAGCCGTCCACTTTTCTATTTACATCATTGTGAAAATGACCTTGCCCACTAACAGGTCTCCCATTGCAGAGAGGGACATTTTTCAGGGCTCTGCATGAAGTTAAGGGCCAGAGACTGTCAGTCTTCCTCACCCTTAACAAACACAGTGTTTAGTTATAATCTGTTCATCACTAAACTAGGTCTTTCTCAACTGAAAAAAGTGATCTTGGGGTTTTTTTTTCCATTTTTGTTGTACACAATGCTGCATTTGTGGTGGTTCTGCTGATTAGCAACTCACCTTCTCGTGTCACCAGAATTTTTAGCAGTACTTGCCATCCAAGGACACACCATAGTCCTTAGAACTATTAATCTCTTTTAGATACTTCTGAAATTATAAACTGAGTACAGAAGAGGCAAGGTTTGTGCTTACAATTAGTATATGTATGGAACTAGGACTAGGCACAGCTTCTTGAGGTTAGAAGAACAGATCAATGTATGCCTGATATTTTTATTTTGCTGTGAATACTAATCCACAGGGTAGTGCTAGGAATATCCCTGCCTTTGCAGGTTAGGAATGCAAAGAGAGTCTGATTTTGAGGAGTGGAATGATAGAAACAGAGAAGGGAGCTGTGTGACTGTCAGGAGTGGTAACAGAGTGTACTTTACACTGAACAAGACATAACACAAGCAGACATTACTGGACTTGGGGCACATTCTCTGCGTGGTACCAAGTGGCAGCTGCCGTGTGCCAGCACTGATAATACCTGTCATGGCAGGAATGTGACCAGGTCATACTTTCACCTGAGTGCCAGAGAAAACACAATTCAAGCTTTTTTTCCCAAGAGGGAACTGCTGATTTTTGATAAAGGCTTCTTGAACAGTAAAATGAATTAAATTTTAGAATAGAGATGGGATTTACCTATTAATAAAGCGACTTTGAGGACTGGGCTCAATTAATCATTTAACAGCAAGGATGGTGTTTGTTACAATTTTTTACAGAAAAATAATGTAGACAATAGTTAAAATGTCATTTAAAAGAATTGGCTGTGGGGACAGATACAAACAATGGTGTGTGACTGAGTTTTCCTACCCGATATTTTCCTGCCTGCCCACACAAACAGATGGCCTACAGGCTTGCCTGAAATTTTAAATCTTTGTGACAATGACTCAGGAGCTTTGCCTCAGTCATGGGGGTGGTAATGCAAGAGAGGCAGTGTATAAACATGGTGTCACCTCTGAATCCATGGAGACAGACAGCACTGGGAAACACTCCCACGCTGGACATGACTGTGCAAACTGTGAGAGCTTAGACACAAAGGATGCTCTAAAATGCCACACCTGGGAGCTGGGAGACAAGTGACAGATCCAGAGGTGGCTCCTGCTTTGTCCTCAGAACAAGTGCAGCCCCTGATCCTGCCATGGACACCCAGGTCTGACCTGAAGGAGGTGGGAAGAAGGTCACCTTTCTAACTTTGTACCAGGGCAGAGGAAAACTGTTTTCAAATGCTATTAAAATCTCCAGGTTTTGTCAGCTCATCTCAGTATATCCCAGGACCCACAGACAAGCCCATCCTCTCTGCTCCAAAAGGTGTGCAGGGTTCTCCTGGGCCATGCCTGGCCTCTTGGGCTTTGCTGCCTTGATGAGCAGACACAGGACTGTGATGAAGAATGGTACAAGAAACACCAGTCACAGCTCCTCTTCCATTTCTCCCTTCCCATGCCTTTTAGAGAGAAATCTGATAATGCCTTGTGTCTGAACTCACCAGGAACCCCAGGCATCCTCACAGGGCAATATGGAAGGCTTATGTAGAAAGTGGGAATTATGGATAAAAAACTGCCATGAAAAGTATAATTTTAATTTTTCAGTATCTAAAGGTTAGGACTTAGGAAGTGAATGCTGTCCAAGTCTGAATACAGAGAGGATTCCTAGATCTGGATCACAGAAAACAAGCTGCAAAAGTTTGTGATTTTCAACTACATGTTTTTCATCAGGAAACTTCATCTTCAGAAAGGAAGCACAGAACTCAAGCAGTGCATTGGGAGGTCTTTTCCTGACTCTTAAAACCTCTTAACTCACCAAGCAGACAACACTGGATGTCATAGCAATTGGACACATGTAGAACAAAACACTCCCTGCAAACAGAAGCATTTCAGACCTCTGAGCCATTTCTACCACTTAATGGGGTTTGAACTGCATCTTCCATTAGCTGGTAGATGTGGCAGAGCAACAAAACCTCTTGTGCCCCCAACAATATGTGCTCACTTCATTCAAATGCTGAACTGCCACATTATGAACCAGTTGAAGATTTTGGATGTGTGTCATTGACAGCCCTGAAAGGAATGCATTGCAATGAGCTTGCCCCCAGGTCAGAAAAAAAATACATAACTGTCAATCAAACAGTGATTGCTATAATACTAGGATAGCCATATAATACTATAATAGGGCAGCTGTAGATAAAAGAAGACGGTATTGCATATGTGACTGCTGGTAACAAGGAACTGAGATTCAGAAGCAGATAAAATACAGCCTAGGCACTGCAAAGTGACAGAGGAATGTGTATCTGATCCTCACCAGCTGAAGGGCTACTCATGGTCTAGGCAATTCCTGCACTGCTTTTTAATCCTTCCTGGTTCAACTTCACTCCCTCTCTCTTAAATAAAGTTGTATTTCTCCCAGACAGATAATTTCTCTATCTGATAAGCATAGAGAAGGCAGACTGCAATATTTGGATTTGATAAAAAGGAAAAGCAGAATGAAGTCTCATTGGTGCATAGGAAGTTTTCTGCTCAAGTAGGGTATTATTTCTCAAAATGGTCAAAGAGATACCAGGTGAAAAAATAAAGGCAGAGCCTCTGTGCACACAGCAGGAAAAGTATATGGTGGCTTTTGAAGTCTGGTGTAAGAAATCCTCCTGTTTCCATGCTCCCTCCATGGCATAGTAAGGGGATGGTCTCTCAAGTTGCACATGATGAAATGAAACAAGAATACAGCACAGAGACAGCCAGCACATTTTCTGCGCTGGAAATGCCTCTGGCTCTGAAATACACACCTGTATAAAGTCAGTTACCCAGACCGTGTAGCAGTGGATATTGAAATCTCATCTGACAGCTACACACACACTCACTGCTGTTCAGACATGCATCACAAGGTACCAACACTCTGTTTGTCACACGTGGTACCACAGAGCCAAAGAGCAGGGAGGCAGAGGTGACAGGTCACCACCTCTACTAATACATTTGAATGTTAGTCACCATGTGCCCAGATACTTGGGCTAAATGCTAAATTAAACAATTTTCTCCTTCATTAAATGCTGTTGCTTCTGGACTTGGCTCTGTCTCACTGCACTGTCTTCATGGTACTTTGTCATCAGTGCTCATTCTACCCAAAATCAGAATTCTATCAGGAGGAAGAAATGTTCTTGCCAGAGGAGGGTTTTTCCACAGAGTTATCAGCACAGATAATCTCTTAAATGCCAGATGCACTGTAATGTGCTTCATTTTAAAACTGAAGAAATTGATTTGCTGCTTTACCCGCTATTGCAGCAGGGTGGTTTCCATGGATACAGCCTTATAGGGACTCTATTTTCCTCCTGTTGACAACAGCACAGAAAGCTAAATTCTCATCTTCACTGCACCAGCATAAATTTGAAGCTAGGGCAATGATTCCCAGATTTAACCCTGAGAGAAGAAGTTGGCTCCCAGTCTCCTTCAACCTTGAATTTGAAATTTGCAAGAGGATAGCAGTGGAGGGAAAAAAGAGGAAGAGCAGCAGTACGGTCTAAGGGACAGGATATATGAAACACACAGTGCCTCTGTGTGAGAAATGGGGAGAAGTCAAGACAGAATGCAAACACACTAACTGCTCATTCAGAGGCTTAGTGTCTCACCTGACATTTAAGTGTAAAAATACAAGTCAGATTTGGGCTACAGAAGTTTGGCTGTAGAATTATGGAATTGGGCCCTTTTTGTTTAAATGAATCAGTTGTTACCATTCTGAAGAAAACCTGCTTCACTTCATGTCAGGAAGGCATGAAA